TAAAACACTAATGACAATTTATTCCAAATTGAAATAGATCAAGCTCCTTCCATTCTTCCTGTTTTATTTGTAGACAATACCCAGATAGCTACAGCATTGATTGCCTTCCGGTATCCGATTTGAAATCAACACCAGAACAGACTAAAGCTCATCCGGTTCCGGTTGTCGCATCCCCCGTTGAGTTTCAGGAAATATTTTTGAATTTCCATTTCTCTTGTAGGTTAATTATGAGAAATGACTTATACAGATAATAACAATCCAAAATTAAATTTTATCCGTGTTACTGATTTAAATAATATCAAACTAAAATGGTAAAAGATTTTTTAAGTAAAGTAAAATAATTATCTTAAAGCCGCTTAACCCGAAACAGGCACATATTATCTTACAGAATAAAAGTACGTCATTACATAGATAATAAATTATAAGATTGATTTAATAGTTTATTACAACAATCCTTACATGGAAAACGCAGATTAAAAACCTTATTGACAAATAGTAGTTCCTGACGGAAGTTAAAATCTATTGTGAAGTCAATTAAGAAAAAAAATAAGTTTATCGGATATATCTAATATTGAAGATAATTCAAACCCGATTATTTTTTTCTCTATTAGTAGAAAGTCTTACTCATAATACATCTTTTCAAAATTAAGAAATTAATTGAATATAATCCATAGTAATTTTTATATTGATATGCATATTTAAAGGAGAAAGGAAAATCAGATATTTTAAATGATTTTTTTAAAGGAGCTAAAATATTGTCCATGAACAGGTAATATATGTACTTTGTTGTGAAAAAAATGCTCGGGTTTGTTCTTCATGAGATAAACATGTAAGCGATAGATTTAATTTTTCTAGGAGATTTCACATGATATCAACAAAGATCAACATAGGATTATTTTTTGTGTGACCTAACAAAAATTATTTTTTTAACTTTTGAATTTTGATATCTTTTAAAAGAAAAAGACTTTGGGGATATAATTTGACAAAAGTTGAAACAATTTATGGACAAATATTTTTCAAGAAGAAAACGAATATATATTTTTAGCGATTAGAATCGGACCAAGCGGCTTTAAAATAGAGACAAACCATGTCCTATTCTTGAAATAGATTTATATATTTGATAGAAAAAATAATTCATCGTAAAGCAAAAGTTAGTACAAATGCATACAATTTTGAAGGTAAACAAATAATAAATTTATGATACTTTTATTATTTTAGCTACAGCAAAAATCCCCTTTACAACGGCTGTAAACGGTCACGTGTTTGTCCCACCTACATCTCCACCCCAGGTAGAGCAACTGATACATCCATATTCTGTTTTATTCCACTGAATCGTGTCATATCAGTATCATTTAAATAGAAAGTAACGTATTTTGAAAAATGGAAATCTAACATGCTTAAAAATTGCTTCATACAAGATATGCTTCAAATATTTTTTTGAAAATTCAATGGTTTGCAGACCTATCCTAGACAGTCTAATACAACAGTATCATGTGATCCTTTGGATTGTTCAGACCATTGCCAATGTACCTACATCGTAAAGCTTGAGAAAGACAAAACGGTGCAATTGGTATTGCATAACATGGGTATGATCAATGTTGACATGTACCTATCTTAAGTTTTTTGGTATGTTTTATGACAGCAATCACTCACGTTAGTATTATCTTTTATTCAGATGACGCACCTTTTGGTATGCCTCATCCTGTTCATATGCATGGTCATCACTTCCATGTGGTCAAGATTGCCTATCCTCACTACAATTCTACTACCGGGGATATCATAGATAAAAATAAAGATATTAAGTGTAATACTAAGAGCTGTAATGATGCGTCTTGGAGAAATGAGAATTGGACATTGGGTAATGTTCCAGGGTTGAATCTCGAGAATCCGCCTCAGAAGGACACGATAGCAGTGCCTAGAAATGGCTACATTGTTCTAAGACTGAAAGCTGATAACCCAGGTAACTATGTTATACTTGTTTCTTTTGTTTTACAATTTTGATGAGTTGTTTATCGTTATAAATTATTAATTAAGTGACTTTAATAACTCAGTCTACAGTCTTTATTGAATAAAACAACAAGACATGAAGAGCAATATAATCTTACCCAACTCTTGTTTTCAGGATTTTGGTTTATGCACTGTCACATCGAAATCCACCAAATAGCTGGCATGGCGGTCCTCTTCCAGGAAGGTGACGTCAGCGACATGGAACCCGTTCCAGAAGGCTTCCCCACATGTGGCAGCTTCCAGATGACGCCAGAAGAATTCAAGCAATATCTAACACCAGAGGGCGCAAGGAAAAAGAAACATGTGCAGAAGCGTCTAAATACTCCTAAGCAAATTCTGGTAGAAGAGGTTGATTATCATATAGTCGATTACGTGCCCGTTGTAAAAGGTAAGTAAAACTACGATAGTGGTCTTAAACAGGATTTGAAAATGAGTTAAACGTTTGTCTAAAAATATGTCTCATGTTAAAATCTATCCAGTACGTCCCTTTATAAGCCATTTATTTTATTTTTCATCAGAATATTTTATCTAAACTTAACAACAAGAAGAAGAGAGGAAAATCAAATTATATGATACTAGTATATTGAACCATGGAATTTCCATGTTTCACTCTTTAAAGAATATGCAAAAGGTTTTATTCACACAATTATACTCAGTAGTTAGTTTTAAATTCTCTAATTCTGAAACATTAATGTAACATAAATATCAAAAAGGTCCCTCATATAAAATAGGTATAAAAAAAAAAGATAAGAATAACATTATTGTATAAAACTACATGTAATTTAATCAAAACATCGTATATCATTTTCATTTTACAGAAAGAAAAGAAGAACCAACATCCTCTCAAGAAAGCGGGAACGTATTTAGAGAATTTCATCGTTTTCATCATAAACACCATAGAGTCCATGTGGCTTTGATTGCAGTTCTGACATTGTCACTTTTAATAAACTTGATCTTCATCACAACCTGCATATGTCGTAAATGTCGACGATCTTCTGCTGTAGACGCACTGTCACAGAAAAAGACGATGCTTGCCCAAAATCTTGTAAACCATGAAGGTTTAAGTGCTTCGGAATCCAAACAACGTCTTGTGTAAAATTCTGAAGCCAACTCAAGCTAACAATCAAATAAAAATTAATATTGAAGTTTTATATATGTTGCCTTAGTTTTATTGTCTTAATTTCGAATATGCATGAATGCAATTTAACTTTACAGGATGCTTTAACTATTAAATAAGTTACGTTTTACTTGAAAATATTATTTATAAAGTTGTTTGACCTGACTCCCGTTTATGTTGTCATGATAGCTTTCAGAATAGATTTGGAATTGGAAAATACACACCATGACTTGTCCTTTGAAATGTTGACATTACATTTTGTTGACTTCTTTTGTAAATATACTGTAGCATTATATCCTGGTGATTACCTAGAGTATTGTATCATATACTGTAGACTTTCCTCCTGTTTCATGTCTTGTAATACCTTCCCTGAAGATATACTGTAAACCAACTTTTATTCGCATGCGAGAAATTTTCGCGAGGTTCGCGAGAGCCTCGTCATCGAGAATATTTCTCTCTGCGAACCAGTCCTTGACCTCTCTGTCCATTAAAAACAGGTCCAAAAAAGGCTTGATCGCGAAATTTAATCGTCGCAAATTAGTTGACCCCCGGTAAATCGCGAAATGAAGTCGTCGCGAATAAAAGTTGGTTTACAGTAACATTGTTGTAGAAAAACCTTGAAATTGATTTCAAATCAAACTTATTAAATTATTTCCTATTCACGGTTTGAGGTGTCCCATTAAAATAATGTCTCCCAAAAGTCTTCTCGACAATCTGTTGTTGATATCTCTACCGAGTGGTGAGACTTCTGTTTCAAATATTATATATTATTGTATATTTAACTATATTGTTCTATACTCGGCACTTAGGGTCATTTAGAAGGGAGACATCTTTTTCATGCCAACACCTACTGCGACACGGGACCTCGGTTTATACGGTCTCATCCGAAGGACCGGTCTCCACGTTCAACAAAGGGATTCGATCCCGCAACGTAAGGATCAACTCCTTACTTCGCGACTCTAGAGCAGATACTCTCATCACTGCGTCACGCAAGTGACTCTCTCTCTCTCTCTCTCCTTTTATGAAATTATTATTCAACAAATAGATATATTCCAAACATACTTGTACTATCTGAAAGAGGTTTTCAGTCGATTTTGTTGAATGTATTTAAATGACATTGGTTTACATTAGATGGTGCACTTTTAGTAATCATTGACAAGATTGACTTAGGACCTGCAAGTCCCCAGCTTCACTAATTTGCGTAAACTGTTTTTATCTGTATAGGAAGTAAACTCAATGCATAATTTTTATGAACAATGCATCCAACATATTACCAGATCGGAATGTTTTCTTCATCTTTTCGCAATATTTGACAGTGTGTGTTAGATAGGTCATTTACAAACCAGGAATCAACCAGCATCAGTATTACTTTCAATAAAACGTCTATGGTTTATGGAAAACTGATTTTGATAAAGTTGACAAACAATGCCGATTGCATTTAAAATTTGAGGTTTATTTCTTTATCTGCAATGTTTTGCAGTTGTTGTTTTTGTCCAAAACTGATTTGCAGGACCAGAATGCATCGTGTGATGAAAATCCAACAATATACATCGTTGATTTTATCATTGTGCAGTGAAAGGCTGATGGGAGGAAATTCCAAGAGAACTTCCATTTGGGAGCATTGCAAAGTCTTGCAGTACAACCCAAGAGGGCCATTTGCATTGCAATTCAGATCTTTCCCTCAAAGTAGCACAATATCTCTTCTTGTACAACGGTTGAATTGCCCACCACCACCCTTCAATGATGTACTTTTATACAAATTTTGACTTCGCCTCAGCAAAATTGAAGTCACTTCTTACTCAAGTTAGATAACTCCACTTAATAGTTATGTCCCTTTGACTTACACGCAAACAGAATTGGTGGCAAATCTTATCATATTTATACCCCCGCTCCGAAGGAGAGGGGGTATACTGTTTTACCCTTGTGTGTCTGTCTGTCTGTCCGTGTGTCTGTGCGTCCGTGTGTCCGTTCGTAACAAATTTTCGGCGCAGTTTTCTCAGCAACTACTCATCATAGATGCTTGAAATTTTAACACAATCTTCTCTGAGGCATGCCATATGATGGGATACATTTTCGCTCAAATCCGATGTGAACTTCCTGTTTGTCTGTGCGTCTGTCCGTTTCATACATAACAAATTTTCGACGCAGTTTTCTCAGCAACTACTCATCGTAGATGCTTGAAATTTTAACACAATCTTCTCTGAGGCATGCCATATGGTGGGATACATTTTCGCTCAAATCCGATGTCAACTTCCTGTTTGTCTGTGCGTCTGTCCATTTCATATATAACAAATTTTCGTCGCAGTTTTCTCAGCAACTACTCATCGTAGATGCTTGAAATTTTAACACAATCTTCTCTGACGCATGCCATTCATTGGGATACATTTGTACTCAAATCCGATGTCAACTTCCTGTTTGTTTGGCAGAAGGATAAAAAATTTCGTCGCAGTTTTCTCTTTAGCTATTCATAGCAGATGCTTGAAATTTTATTACACTCTTTGTTGAGGTATGCCATATGGTGGGAGTAATTTTGATATGAATCTGATGTCAACTTCATATTTTACTGTGCATCTGCCTGTTATTGAACTTATGTATATTAACATGATACTGCTTATTTACATCAGAGCGGGGGTATTACTAGTGAGCATTGGCTCACAGATTTCTTGTTAATGTCATTTTAAACCCAATTAGACCCAGTGCTAATCCGTTCTCTTATTTCGATTCAAAAATGTGTCGAAAATTCAAACGCAGTGTTGCAACAACGACTCGAATTTTTTAGATGAATTTTAATAGGACATCAGCTTCTTTGGCGTCCTTGAACAGGTAACTAGCTGAGAGTTAACAATGAATAGCGGACGGCTTTAAGGAGTGAGTTTCTCTCATTGTATTATTACGGTACCTCCAGACATTTAATCTTTATTGTCTGGACTCACTTTTTACTTGCACGGACGGCCACTGGAAATCTTATGATATGAAAAGTGAATATTCTGTCATATGCAATGTAAATTACTCCCAAAATCCTAGGTGCAATTTTGTCACAATCAAAGTTCAGAGAATAATAATAACAGAGTATAAGATCCCACCTAGTGCCTCTCTCTCTCTCTTAGTAAAGGATCAACACTTTGGTATTGTACGAGGGGTGATCAAAAAAGTTTGCAGACTATCTCTATATATACTAAAGCATGATTCAGATCAGAATGCAATTTGGCATACCTATACTCATGTTCATGCTCTATAAACAGTATCACCCCTAAATAATACTTCTTTATAAATAAGGAGCTGCACGTTGTCTTTTTTTATGGAGATATGCATTTGGTTGCAATAATAGTTCAGTTATGTCTGAATACATGTATTCTAATTCGTTTTTTTCAAATCACTGAAATTAGCACTTTTCAAAAATATATTACCAGACTTTAAAAAAAAAAAGTATCTTGTCAGAAAAGCATTATATTTTTGAAAATTGTTCAATTCAGCAACTTTTTCTTCCAGTGTGTGTATTGACATGGCTAGAAAAACGCATAATATATATAATATACCGAACTCTACCCGGAGTTATCATTCCATTTATTGTGGTGAAGCGTAATACGCCCTCTGGTGACATTAAAGTCTAGTTTGGGTCAAGGCTATAGATGTTGAAGTCAAAAGTCAATATCAATTTGTGCTGATTGCAAGGACAATTATAATGTTGTCCGGTTACGTACAAGAACACGTACGCTGGGTTTTTTTTATGCCCTTTACTCTCCTTTCCCATTCACTTCATGGAATCCAACCATGATGCTAACTAGAGCAATTGTTATATTGAGTACAACACAATAGTGTTAGAAGTGTAACTCATAGTGATGGAGAAAAGTGTAAAATTCAACATTTATTTGTCTTCCCTGGTATTTACAAGCTGGAGAGTAAAATATGGATTGGCCCAAAATCTCTAAGGAGACTGTATGTGTATAGTGGAAATTTGATAACCCTACTCTATCGATTGTATACTAGTTTATTTAATCTATAGTCATCAGTTCCATTTTACATAACAAAAATAGGAAATCAGATCAAAGAAATGCCATCTTTTAACTCAAATGAAAAGTATTTTCATCAATTGAATTTGTTTAAATTTCATTTCTTTTGTAGAAAAGTGGAAGTATACAAACTAACAAAAATGAAGGCTTATACAAAAATAGAATCCATATGTTCTACATTTGTACCAATTTGATTTTAAATCAGATCAACAACTAGACCAAATATAATATGCCATTCAAAACAAGGTCAGCCATAAGAAAGATGAGAGCTAACTGACAAATTACTTCTGTAGTTTTATGCCTTAATAGTAATATAGTGAGATCAATGGTATATATTTGTAACAGTCAACTTGAGGACAGTTCTAGCAAAGTTTTGATACAAAATGCATTTCTCTGCCTAAAAGAATTGAATAATGTCCACCAGATTACACACCCTTTTAAGTGGGTGAAATCACAAACTGGAAGACAAAATCTTATTCAAAACATATAAATGTATTTACATGAAGTACATGCCCACATTTCAGGTTCTTTGGCATTTTTTTTCATAAATTATTTACATCAAATTCATCTAGTAAAAATAATCTAAAAAGTATTTTAATACATAAAAAATATATTTCAGCTATATTTGGTTTTTGCTTCTTCGATTTTTTGGAATGTTTTACAAATATTCTAAAAAATACATCTCCAATTTAAGAATCCTTATGAAGTTGTGAATTCTATTTTCTGAGGGGGAATAATTTGTTGTGTAGGTTGTAAAGAAATTCCCTGGGCGGTAGATACTGTAGTTGGTAATGCTTGTGTCAAAATGACCTGATTGGATCCCGAGGTAGAAGCAGGTGTGATTTTGGCCATGATAAAGTTCTGATTGGTTCCTGGCACTGAAGAGGGCGTGGATGCAGCCACAAGAGTGGCGCCTGTCGAAGTACTGATGATTGTTGGAAGCGTCATGGTGGCTTGAGAGGTGGGTGTGGTTAACTGATTTGTGGGCGTGGCCA